GCTTATATATACAGCCCTGCTGGCACGATTAACTCGGCAGATCGGAATGTAGACGTCCACACAGGAAATCAGAGCAACACCATTCTCACAAAAATCCAGAAAAATATCGCCAATACACGCGAACAATATAACACTGATACCGAATAATATGCAACTTGTTCCCTAATGAGTGTAACACTGACCCACGATCCTCAACCCAACAAAGGATTAAAAAGACAAGTATCTGGAAGTAAATAAAACACTAAAAAAAGTGCTGCTGTCTTCACGTATCACCCAAATACTACACAGCAAGAACCCAAAAGCCCAGAATCTTTTAAAAAATCCAATCGGACAAGCAAGAAATACAAGGTATCGCAAAGTCACTCCAATGTGGCACACATTCTTGAAGAACATCTGAAACCAGTCAAAAATCAAATCCAAGACGGAAATAAAAACTATCCCCGTAACCTGAACAACAAAAGTATAAAAAATCGCTTTACCAGAATAAAGAATAAACTCTCAAATGCACTGACGCAGGATCCATCCACTCCACTCAGTCTACCTACTAAATTCAATATCCTTCAATGGAATCTGAACGAGGTAGATACCTGTTTGAGAACATCAAACTACTATTGTCTGAAAACGACTCTATATAGAACACTAATCTGTTCTCAAATCGATTACGGATCAATAATCTATCCACCAGCAAAACCCTACAGGCTAAAAACACTTGATGCAATCCATAACACCGCCATAAGAATAGCTACTGGCACATTTGTAACTAACCGTATAGCAAAAGTTTTCTGCAACCCTAACGAACCAACACTAAGATACTAAGATATATTGCTCATTAATTTCTCCGCTTCAATACTCTCCTTTCCTCGAAATCATATGTGTATTGTGATATTTTTAACACCCGCTTTCATTCAGTCCACCAAATACCCTATCCCCCACTACACCTACATATACACCGACGCGTCCAAATGTAGAAACGAAGTAGGAGCAACTTTTGTGACTGATGACAGGAACATCCAATTATTGCAAGGGATGCAAATTTCACTTTCTTCTTGGTAAAGGAGCAACTAAATAGAATTAAAAAACAAAATGCCAGCAACCCAGCTGCAGTTCTGGGAAAAGTGTTTGAAAACTTGACAATGACGATTAGTCACTTGGTACGCCACTGGAACTTCCCTTATAATTTGGAAGAGATGCAATTTGCATTTATTTGTTGGTAAAAGTATTGTAAAGTGGAGTTTACAAGCAACCCGCTGTCTTTGATGATTTGTTGTTTAGTATGCCCGTGAAAGTTTTATTGAGTAAAGTTGCTACTGTGTTTTTGGAGAAGGTTGTACAAATTACAAGTGGAAAACAGATTCCTAGCAACTCTCTGTTATTTTTAGCGCATTTTTTTAAGTGTTAAAAATATGTGATATTGTTTTGTCCGTTCGTCCGGACCCACTTCTGCCGTTTCGAACTACTTGTAGGGGAATGGTCTCAGAGTCCTGGATTTTTTTGCAATAGGTAACCTATACTTTAGAGGCGTGCCCCATAAATTATTTTCTGAGATGTTGTTTTTGAAACCAATTTGGGGGGGGGGGGGGCTAAACACACGTTCTACCCTTCATGATATTCTAATGAATGGTTTCATCAAAATAAATTGGTTTGTACAAACTATTACTTTCCCGCGCACCTCTTTTTTGAGATTAATGGATGACGGGTCCCGAGGGAGGGGGGGGGGGGAAACTGGTTTTATCCTTCATGCTACTCTAATGAAAGGTCTCAACGAGAGGAATTCAGTTCTACTAACCATAGTCCTTCTCCTCGACCCCTTATGGTGAACAAATGAATTCCCTTGGTCATGTAAAAACTTTAAGAAAATGGGTTGTCGGAGGAAACTACTCTCAAAGGCAAAATGAATGGACTGAACGAGACATATCTATTGGTGAACTCGAAGCAAATACCTTGACACCGAAGTCTCGGAAGAGGGTACTCATAAAAGGCAAGTGGAACGTCAGACGAGATCTATTGGATATGTCAAAGCTTTCAGTGCAAATATGTCGGAGGATTTTGAATGTATTCCAGGCGGCCTTTAAATGTTTATGTGTAAAGAACCTCCTCCCAATTAATCATCTACCAAAAAAGTAAACACAGATAGAATGCTACTGCCTTATAACTCAACCATTTGTTAAGCTCTTTCGGTTTAAAAAAATGCGCTTTATCTGCACAAAAGTTGTGCACAATTTATACTTGTTAGGGCTTTATGGAGTCTGTGGTAGTTAGTCAATGAAATGCTGACGTCACTGCGTAAGCAGGCATTTCAACCGTGACGTCACTATTTCGTAATGTGGTTTTGACTGTGTGACATCATCTTCGGCCAACGTCGGAAAAATGGCTTGCTACCTTTGGTTGCTGCTTTCACACGGGTATCAAGTGATCATTGCAAGACCAGCAAAAAAAGACCTCGCGGTGTTTCCAACGAGCCATTTTACGCCATCGCACCCCCTCACCGCGCAAAGGCAAAGTTAGGAGGCCGTAGCGGGCGAACGGGGAAACATATCGAGTTCCGGTTTTGTGCGTCAGCTTTATAGATTGACTCCGCTTCAAAATCCACGGGTCGCATCCCCCTCCCGCCCCCACCCTCACATTGATGAGAAGTTGCACTCCCACTTCTCATATTTTGGTGTTTATTCGGAAACGACGAGGGCTACAACGATACCGTTTCTTACGTTGCATTCGTATATCGATCGGTCGCGTTCTAGAATCTACGGCGATTTGAGCTCGCATCCCCCATCCCCATTCGCTGCGTAGAGGTAAAGTTAAAAGTGTTAAAACGCCGTAGCGGGAGAACGTACCGAGTTGCGGTTTTCTGAGTTGGCTTGGCAGTACGATTGCTCTTTCGAGGTGTCGGGTCGCCCCCCTCCCCTCTCTCCACCAACCCCAATATCGCTTACAGATTGCAATTTTGGCGTTTATTCGGAAACGATGGAGGTTAGAACAATGCCGTTTTTGACATTGGATTCCCATGTCGCTCGGGAGCGTTCTATAACCGTAGAATCGACGGCGATGTGTGTAAATGGTCGAGGCGAAGCGGCGAATGTGTGCTCTTCGTGTGTTTTAATGTGCGAGGCGAAGCCGAGCAATGTGTCAACAGTCCTATACACGCGTGAGATTGGGTAGACATCTACATTCGGGTTACCCCCCCCCCCCCCACCTATTGCCCTTAGAAAGGATTTTTGTCATATTTTTCCGTTTCTTCGAAAATGACGACGATTAGAACGAAGCGATTTTTTTGTCTCCTATATCAATCGACCACGTTTTAGAATCGAAGTGTCGTAAAATGCATGTGCCGAAATCCTACTGTGCATGCGTAAAGGGTAACTTTCTTATTTATGCAATTTGAACGAAATTTCTATCGTAGGTCCCCCTAACGGCTAATGAAAACAAACAAAATGCATTCACAAAAATCGTATTGCGCCGTCTAGACCTAACCCAACCTAACTCTGCATTTCGACCTAACCTAACTTACTTACTTAGCTAACTAACTAAGTAAAGCAAATAAAACGCATGCCCAAAAATCGTAGGTACTACTGCGCGTGCGGAAAACGCAACTTTCTTATTTATGTAAGTAAATGATAAAGAATTGGTGTACGATTAAAAGCTCGATTAAAAGAGACAGAGCGAGTCATCCTATATCAATATCATGGAACGAAACGAAATAGCACACAGTATCCAAAACCGAATGTTTACACCGAAAAAATGAAGACACAAACTTAAAAAAATGCCCCCTTTTCGACGGAATTTGTACAAAATAAACTCGCGCCAGCGAAGTCTTAAAATGCGGCGCATTTATACCAACCTATACGATGACATTGACTAAAAAAAGGACTACCGATATATTTGGTGCTTTTTTAAGCCGAATCAAATTTTTTTTCCTTTTCTTTCGTATTTTATAAAATTCCAACGTTTCCTAAAACAACCCTAACTACATTCTCACAACAATGAAGCAAAAAAAAAAGAAATTCTATACGGTAAGAAAATGTTATTTCTGATACTGTAACGTCTTCTAAAAAAACTGGAGGTATAAATCATTACACAATTTTTCGCAGTTATTACCATAAAATGAGCTCAAAACTTACAGAAATAGTCACAATAATTTGGAACTTCACAGTAATTGATGATTGAGAATAGGATTCACTGTTTTGAAGGTTTGCCTTTTGGCTTCTCAACTCAGCACTTTTACCTATTGGAATAGTCTAGTCGGATTGACATGAATTGTATTTATAATTAAACGATTGTTTTGTTCAGTTTGTCATTATGATCCTAAAATGATGTCTAAATATGGCACATACTTTTTGTTCATTGAAACAAGGTGATTCGTCTCCGTTACTGTAGCATTTTAAAGCAGTAGGGGATAAAATATTTATACTTTCACGTCTGAAGTTGACGAATGTGTACAAAGGCAATCCTTTGCAACATCAACTAAATTCAACGGAAATCAGATAGCATCGCCTTCCATTTACTGATATGTACCATCGCTTTATTATCAGCCGTATGATCTTATCCTGCGAATCTTATTCTACGTTTTACATTACAGTCAGCCGGTACCGTCATATCTACAATCTACACTTGTCTGTCTTGGCCTCATTGTGATGAGAAGTGTTATCGTACTCCGTATTTTTCATAAAAAAATTCGTTTAAAAGTAGGTAGGTAGGTGGGTGGGCAGCTAGCTAGCTAGGA